TCTCTTATTCTCTCTTCCTGAGTGCTGTTACATCAGTTCAGAATCTACTCGTTATTCATTCATTTGACAAATGTGTACTGAACTCTTTTCTTGTGCGAGACAGAGATGAACAGAGATGTTGGCCTAAGAGGAGAGCAATGACTTCCCCTTCTTTCCCTGTGGAAATTGCTTTTCTTCAAGCCCTGACGAGGCCTATGGCCTGTGTGAGTTCCTGGGATTCTTTCTTCTGGGAAGGCAGCTAAAATCACTCTGCCTCTTTGTTGGCATTTGGTGCACTTCTCCTTTTAGATTAGGAGTGGCTCCACAGGGGTCCTGTTTTACCCATTTCTTCTCTCCCCACTAGCAGTTAGCAGGATGTTTAGCACAAAATAGATTCCTCCAGTAGTGCAATGAACTGGAAGCATGTGCTGTTGTTGGTTGTGGTGGCACACTTTTAATCCCAGCACTCAGGAGTCAGAGACAGGTGGATCTCTGAGTTTGAGGCTAGCATAGTCTACAAAGCAAGTGACCAACCAGTCAGAGATACATAGTGAAACCCTGTTGTATTAGTTTGAATGCAATTGGCCCCCAGGAACTCATAGGGAATGGCTCTACTGGGAAGGGTGGCTTTGTTAGAGAAAGTATGCCACTGTGGAGGGGGGCTTTGAGGTATCATATATGCTCAAGTCACACCCAGTGTCTCAGACCACTTCCTGTTGCCTGTGAGTGAAGATGTAGGACTCTCAGCTACTTCTCCAGCACCACATCTGCCTGCATACTGATAAATGGATGAAACCTCTGAAAATGTAAGCCACCCCAATTAAATGTTCTTCCTTTGTAAGAGTTGAGGTGGCCAGCCCAGCGGTGGTGGCACATGCCTTTAATCACAGCACTTGGGAGGCAGAGGCAGGCAGATCTCTGTGAGTTTGAGGCCAGCCTAGTCTACAAGAGCTAGTTCCAGGACAGCCTCCAAAGCCACAGAGAAACCTTGTCTTGAAAAACCAAAAAAAAAAAAAAAATAGAAAAAAGAGTTGAGGTGGTTATGGTGTCTCTTCACAGCAGCTGAAACCCTAACTAAAACAGGTGTCTATTTTGTTTGGTTGTTTTTTGTTTTTTCAATACAAGGTTTTCTGTGTGACAGCCCTGGCTGTCCTGGAACTAGCTTTGTAGACCAGGCTGGCCTTGAACTCACAGAGATTCACCTGCCTCTGCCTTCCAAGTGCTGGGATTAAAGATGTTCACTACCACCACCACCACAGGCATGTCTTTAAAAAAAAAGATAAAAAAGAAGGGGTACAGATGCCTAGAGTAGGCTGCCTCCAAGATGCACACAATGAAGACATTCAAGTTTGATGTTAAGTGGGGATTACAGACCAGGGCAACAGAAGGAGGCTTCTAGAATACTCTTGGGAGTCACTTGTTTAAATATGTTCCAGATTTGTTTATTTCTCATGTAAACTCCAATCGGGCTTCCAGTAGTTTGGCTGCCAGGGCTCAGACCTAAGGCAAACATCTGAGGTCATTTTCTGAAGATGGAGGAGCATTAAGGGCCCGTAAGAATCTGCCCAGAGGTCAGCTGCCTGGAGTTAGGAGCTAGAATCCTGACTATCAGAACTGGCCTATATCTTTGAAATCACAGCTCCTTCCCACAGAGCAGTAGTGACTGCACCACGGACACACAGCCGTGAGCGCTGCTCAGGAGTGTCAGCTGAATTTCCAGTCACCCTTCCCTTGAGGAAGTGAGGACCAGTCTTCTTCCTGAGTCACCGAAGTGACTCACTCATCCAGGTTCTGACCCTTTACTCCTGTTTCTGGATGTGGCCGCAAAAGCTCTGAGAACCCTTTTCCCTTTTATACTCATTTGCGGATACTCATGTTAAGCTTAATTTCTACCTCCATGGCATTCAAAGAGCCTTTAGTAGGAGGGGCCGCAGTGCGAGGTGACCTGGCTGTGATGCGAATGGGAAGGGATTCGCGCCAGTCTCACGGAGAGTAACTGTACAGGGATGGTTTAGTTCCTGTAAGTGCAGCAGTTACGAAAGAGTCCCTCCCTCCCTCCCTCCCTCCCTCCCTCCCTCCCTCCCTCCCTCCCTCCCTCCCTCTCTCTCTCTCTCTCTCTCTCTCTCTCTCTCTCTCTCTCTCTCTCTCTGTATGTCTGCACTCCCCTAGAAATTGCCCTCATTCCCCTAGTTCTAAATGAAAGAAAGCATAAATGTAAGGACACAAGGGCATGGTTTTAAACCCTGTTCTGCCACTCTATTTGTTGTTGGTAGTACGTTTCCTAGGGATACTATGGATTTTTTAATTTAAAAATTGTATTATTATTGCGTATGGACAACATATGTGTGAGTGTGGGTGGGCCATGGTGCATGCATGGAGACCACAGGACAACTCGGAGAGTGGGCCATGGCGCATGTGCAGAAGCCAAAGGACAACTTGGTAGAGTGGGCCATGGCGCATGTGCAGAAGCCACAGGACAACTCGGAGAGTGGGTTCTCTCCTTCCTCCTACTATGTGGGTTTCAAAATGGATCTCAGCGAGCAGCTTTACCTGCTCAGCCCTTTACCTAAGATACGATAAGAATTCGTATCTTAGGAGACTTCACTGAGTTTAAAGTGACAAATCATATTAAAGAACTATAAAAATTATGAACAGTGCATAAACGATAGCCAGAACTGTAAATCACAATAGCATTTGTATTTGTATGTGGCTTCCTCTAACCTGTGTTCCCTTAGAACATCTGCCTTGTGTGGGGCTTATTTCTCTGTCATGCCTTCCTTGGGAAGGACCATGCCTTAATCACTTTGTCTCTTCCAATGCACATAGCATCAAATCTGTGTATGGGCATTTATTGGATGAATAAACAAGCTGATAATGACGAAAGGGAATCAAGCTCAGAAAATAGAGCGCGAGACTGCTGTCGAAGCACAGAAGAGCGATCTCGCTAAGGACGCCACAAATGGACAGTCCTCACCAATTCCTGTTCAAGAAGAATAGGAAGTTAACAAAAAACCAGAAATGACACAGACTTTTCAAATTTGCCCCCTTTTTTATTGCCACATATAAGATGAATTCGAACAAAGAAAAAAATTACAGACAAGGGAGCACTTAGCAGGAACATTTCTCAGTTTGGGAAGAGCGGGGTGAGGAGACACGGAGTGGGGGAGGGACACACATACATGCCTGTTGAGTTTTGAGTCTTCTGGAAGCAGATGCTGAAAGTTGGAGATGCAGGATGTTTACTGGAAGAGGAAGCAGGATCCAGTTGAGGAAAAAGTTAAACTGCTTTGTAGATCCCACACAGGCCCAGACAACCTGGCAGGGAACTCTGGAGTAATTAGGCACAGCTGGGTGTCCAGTCGCAGGGGGAGGGCAGTCACAGGACAGGCGTGCCCTTGTGCTGAACTGTTCTCTGCAGCTGAGGTGGTCACTGTAAACTGAAGAGGCTGAGGACCCTGTTGGCTGTACTCCCTGAAGATGGACAGCAAGTCCCTCCCAAGGGTGAACTCAGCAGGTCACCTCTGTGCCTCCCACAGAGAAAGAGGAAAGGCAGGGAGGAGAGAAGGACCCTATAGATTTTGCACTTTGTAGATGGGAATAAAGAAAAGTATGTAAATAGAGCTTACCACTGAGATCTCTACACAGTTGCTATGTGAATGTATTTCTTTTACCTATTAACACATATTAAATAACAGGAGAGAAACGGGAGGAAAAAAGTAATAAAATTGATCACTCATATGTTGGCTTTGAATATCCCCAAGATATTAAGGTAGAGCTCATGTTCAAAGGAAACGGTACAGTAGGCATGTTTATAATTCACAATGTGGGGGGCTGAGGGAGGAGGATCACAGGTTCAAGGCCAGCCTAGCCTACATAGTGAGACCCTGTCAAAAACAAAACATAGAAGAAGTCAGTGCAGGGGCGGAGTTGCTGCTCAGTGTCAGGGGCCTGTCTAAAGAGTTGGTCCCTTGGTAAAAAATTGGTGCAAATGTGGGATTTGGGGTGGTGACTATTGCTGTATTCATGATGTGTGTATTGTCTTACTTACATTAGCTTACTGACACCCATAATGTCTGCTTGAGGTAGGTATTTTGTTATGACCTTTTGTGTATTTTATTATCCTTTTAAGGAAGAAAGATTTGGAGAAGTTAAATGCCTAACTCCAAGATGTAAAACTGAAATCTGATTTTAAAATGTTCTTAAAGCTGAGTGGTGGTGGCGCATACCTTTTCTAAAATTTTTATTTATCTTTTTTTTATATAGCAATCCCAGTTCCCCCTCCCTCCCCTCGTCCTGCTCCCTGCACCTTGACCCCACCTCATCTCCCCACCAAATTCTCAGAGAGGGTAAGGAGTGGCACATACTTTTAATCCTGACATTCTATAGGGTGTGAGAGGCAGGTGGATCTCTGCAAGTTTGCGGCCAGCCTGGTCTACAGAGTAAGTTCCAGGACAGCCAGGGCTACACAGAGAAACCCTGTCTCGAACCTCACCCCCCACAAAAAATTAAAAAACATTGTGTGTGTGTGTGTGTGTGTGTGTGTGTTGCTAGTGCTCTAGAAGGTCAGAAGAGGGCACCAGACTCCCTGGACTGAAGTTACAGGCAGTTGTGAGTGAGCTACTGAGTGCTGTTAACCCAACTCTGGTCTTGTGTAAGAGCAGCAAGCTCTCTTAACTGCTGAGTCATCATGCTTGTTGCTCCACAGAAACCACAAGAAATAGATATTTGAAGTCAGTGCATGGGGGAAAAAAAGGTGAATGGGAGTAAAGGGGTTGAAAAGAGTTCCAGAATGTTTTATGAATTATTGTGTCTCATTAGAGTTCCCAGCTCACAGAGTCAAATGAAGCACACATTATGGAGAATGATGGTGACAATGACAGGTTATGGTGATCTCTGACTACATCATAGAAAGAGGACACCACTAATTACCGAGCAACTGACAGATGAAGAAATAGAACAAAAGGTATAGGTTATTTTTTCAGAAGTTGTAATAAAATAGAGGAAATAATTACAACTTTACATAAATAAGAAATATAATGTTTAATTAATTATTACTCGTTCTTCCATGTTGCTTGATCTGACAATTGTGACATTTCTCTAGTTTATTTCAAACCAGTATCCCTTCCCAAGTTGGACACACCTGGACACATTAAATGTAGTTTATTTTGGCTACAGGCAACTCATTTTATTTAGTTAGATGTTGGGATGCCTCCACTGAATCTGCCTTTGCAGGGAGTTCACAGACACCCCAAGTCTATCATCTAATTACCACAGAGAAGCAAGCACCGCTTCTCAGACCAACTAACAAAGCAAGCACGTTCTCTCAAGTGCTTTGTCTGCACACCCCCTTTACACCCCTTCCTCAAACTGATTGGCAGCTGCAGGAGAAAAAAGTGAGTTGTTGCTCTACATCTCCTGAGATAAGGTGGCCGGCTGCCGGGGGTGTCTGTTTAGCTTCCTATGAGCTGTGACCTCCCCTTACTAGCCCCCATCCGTGCAGCCCTTTCTCTGAGGGGACTTGAGAGTCATCAGCAGCGCCGTCCACCCGTGCACAGGAAGATGCCCACGGCCACGCCAGCAATTATGAAACTGCCCACCAGGATGCCCAGGACAAGCGAAGTGTAAGAGCGGCCTGTTTGGCTCCCTGCAGAATAGGCAGAGAGTGAGTTCATGAGAATACTTTCAAGGAGTCCCAAGTTTGGCTCAAACCCCAGGGCATCTATAACTTCACCCTGTAGAGTGAAACCTTATCACCCAGTGACTTAAGCCACGTGCATGTACCCTCTCCCAGTCTCCAAACACCTCCTTTTGTTGCACAAGGGATACCTCATGTCCATCCACTTGCCTGGAAACTGTCCCCTCTCCCAGCACACAGGCGGGGCCCAAACCTCCTCATACCTTTCATGTTTTGTGTGATGAAGTGTTTCTCCACAAACTGCACACAGGTGTCCTGAAGAAATTCCTGAATTTCATACCTAGTCCGATTGTAGGCATTAAGCTGCTTCAGGGTGAAGAAGAGAGCGTCAGAGAACTTCTGGGAGTTTATCACCCACTGAGCGGTCTTAGGCTGGAAACGTATAAAGGAGCTTCCATTCACAGCCACATCGAAGAAGACATGGGCTTCAGAGCTCTCAGTCGGCAGGTTGGCAGCAGGTAGCTTGCAGCCCAGGGAGCAAGTGACTGTGAGAGGAACTACAGGGAGAGGGGGAGGGTGCTCAGTTCTGTGCTTGCCTGAGAAGGTGCCAGGAGTGGGGATGTTCACCAGGGGCAAAGGGGACACGAAAGGAAGGAGGGGTTGTGGGCTTGAGGACACAAGAGTCTGACTGGAAAGTGCTGGGGTTAGACTGTTGGAGCCTGTCTAAAGAGAACCCAGGAAGGAGCCATGAAGAAAGAATGAGACCATGAGAGAGAGCAGAAAAGGGATGTGAAAGGGAGCCGTGGCTTCCCAGACAAGAAATCAGTGGAGTCTTTGACAGGAGTTGGGACCATGAGGGAGCTGTGGGTGGGACCATCAACATCATCATTGGGAACGGGGCCAAGTATGAGGGAAAGGAGTTGGCAGAGTAGTCATTGAAACTTTGGGGGTCAGAGAGGATCAGGGGCAGGGTCCCCAAGAAGGCTTGCTCTGAGAGGTCACACCCACTGGAAGAGAACCTGATAGACTCTATCTACCATCTGTGTGTGTGTGTGTGTGTGTGTGTGTGTGTGTATCTGTCTGTCTGTCTATCTACCATCTATCTAATAGAGGTTTCTTACAGTTAGGACCTCCAGACCCCACAGAACAATCTCCAAGGGTCAGGGCTCTGCAGGGAAGCCCCACCCCAGAGACCACGCCCACCTTCCCTCCCACTCACGAAGATCCTGCTGTCTAGAACCTTAGCCTTAGTACCCTAGCTCCACCACAAGCCCCCTCAAGACCTTCTCAATCTCCAGGGCTCCCACCAGCCCCGACCCAGCACCCCCACTCACAGTCTATGCTGTGGTCACGCTCGCGATACACCAGCTGCACCAGCTTGTGGAACTGGAACAGGTACACCTGCAGGCCCTTCTCTGTGCGCTCCCAGCTCTTGGGATCCTCCCAGGGTTGCAGCTGGAGGATGGTGACTTTGTTGTTGGTGCCTTCCAACGTGTGTGTCAGGATCGTCCCCATCGAGGCATTGCCCTGATGTCTCACGTGAGTGGAGTTTTGGAAGTAGGAGATCTGGAGCATATGCAGGCTTCGAGAGCCTGGAGGAAGAGTCAGCTCAGCGTCAGGACCTCCAGCGAGGGGAGGGGTGGCTGACAGCCAGAGATAATAACCCCTTGTCCAGAGGCCTGCCACCTGTTTCTCAAGCCTATAAAGCGCTCTCCCACCTGCCCTCCTATTTGATGCTCACAACAACCTTGCCAGGAGAGGACGGGGATTATTATCTCTGCTTTACAGATGAGGAAACTGAGGCCTGCAGTTGGAAAAGGCATCCCTCTGTGTCTTTGCCTCCCCCCCCCCCCCCGCCACATGTCCAGCCTATCACACTCTGGCCTATGATAAAAATCCCAGCCCCAGTTACCTTTCTCCTGGGACATTGTCATCTAGGCTCGGGTGCCACAGAGACTCATTTCTCAATGTCACCCTTTTGTTTTTCGAGACAGGATTTCATTGTGTAGCCTGGGCTATCCTGGAGCTGGTTTTGCAGACCAGGCTGGCCTCCAGCTCAGGGATCCACCTGTCTCCACCTCCCTGTACTGGGATTAAAGCGTGCATGCACACGGGTTCAATTTCATCCCTTCTTACTGGATCTCCACCTGACCCAAAGCCCTTAAGGCCCTCCAATGACATACACTACCCCTCCCAAATAATAATAGCTAATATCCATTAAGTGCTTGCTATGCCCTGGGCACTGTTTTACACACATTATTAACTTATGTATGCCTTCCTCCTCATGCCTTAACACAGTAGCTACTATTATTAACCCCATGTGTATGGGAGTCTGAGGCTAACATGGTGAAGCAAGCCAAGTATTTGAACACTGGTAGCAGAAGCCTACCCATCTTTGTCTGCAGTCATAGATTCCTACCCCATAGAACACCCATGCACAGGACAGATCTTAGAGTCTGCCCTAGTTTTGGATCCACAGCAAGTGATCTAGTCCCAGCTGCATTTTTTTCTGGCCAGTCTCAGCGTTCAGCTTTAGCAAATGGCTTGGAGTTCCTTATGCTGACTTTTGGCCACTGTGTTCATCAGGATTGTTCTGCTGCCCTTGTTCTGTCTGGCAAATTTCTATCTGTATTTCAAGACCCAGGCAGGCAGATCTCTGTGAGTTCGAGGCCAGCCTGGTCTTCAAAGACAGTTCTAGGACAGCTTCCAAAGCCACAGAGAAACCTTGTCTTGAAAAACAAGCAAACAAGCAACAACAACAAAAAATCAAGACCCAGCTCTGTGGCCTTATTGGAGCACTTCTCTGATGCTGCTGTCTTCCCCACCCTTTCACGTGGGTCTGGGCAAAGGGTGTTGTGTCAGCACAGATTTCGTGGATTCCTAGTGTTAGTGTCTGAATACATGAGACCCCTCCCGAATGAACACTATACATATGGTTTTTCGACACAGGGTTTCTCTGTGGCTTTGGAGGCTGTCCTGGAACTTGCTCTGTAGACCAGACTGGCCTCGAACTCACAGAGATCCACCTGCCTCTGCCTCTGGAGTGCTGGGATTAAAGGCGTGTGCTAGGGTTCTTTATCTATTCTGCGACCCAGCTTTCCCCTCTGTAAGATCAGTGCGATAACATTCATTGCTCACCCTGGTGGATAAACGAGTCGATATGTGTGCTAAATACAGTAAGCATTCTGAATACTGCTCCTTAGTAGCTTCTCTGAAGAGGAGACTGACCTATAGATCCAGCGGGAGGGAGCCGGCCATGGCAGCGTCTGGCCATGACTCCCCTTTTTTCTGTTTAAGAGCTTCCAGCAGCAGGATCCTGCTGGCCCCGGGCTCCCCCCCCCCCTCCCCACCCCAGTCCCACTTCACCAGCTACAACTCCAGCATTTCTCCTCCTTCCCTACCTCCCCATCTCAATCCCTGAACTTGTCTCAGTTCTCCTAGTATTTTCCCATTTTCTCCATCTCAACTCTCGCTGATTCTCTTCCCCAGACTGACACTGCTCTGTCTCCTCTCCTCATCCGCATTCTTTCTCTATGGGTCCCTTCCACCAGCCTCCAGAGAGTTAACTGAACTTCTTCAGAAGTCTTGTCTTTGGAACATAAACCGATGCCCAGGACCCAACGTGCACGGTAGAGCGATCCTAGCAGCTGTAGACATAACACGCGGCGGGCTTAGCTGTCCTACAATCTCGCCGAAGTTTCCGAATACACCAATTCCCCAGAACACCCCCAGGCAGGAGCCGCGTCCCTAACTCACCATCTGAATCTTCCTGGTTACAAAAGGCGTAGCCAGGCAGCAGCAGCAGCAGCAGCGACAGCAACTTCGTCAACATCCTGGAGCAGAAGTTCTGGGTCCCACCTGGGCCAGGCAGCTCGGGCTCTGCAGGCTACAGATTCGGAAAGAGAAGGGAGACTGTCCGGGAGGGGCGGGAGCTGACCAGGAATGCCTGGAGGAAGAGGGAGTCAGGCTTTTAAAGTGTTACTTCTATCTACCTCATTTCCTACTAGGGGGCCGGCTCGCGTCGGCCCCTCCCAACCTTGGGCCCTCCGGCCTAGACCTGCCTGTTCCCTTCTCCTCCCGCTGCTTGCTTCCGAGGCGTGAGGAAGAGCGGAAAAGGGGGAGAAGAGCTTGGTGAGAAGTCCGGCCGCCGCTGAGTCAGGGGGTGGGGCGTCTGCTTTCGCTGTTGCTGACTCCAAGAATGTAGAGATCATTAGGTTACTGATGGGGAAACTGAGGTCCGAAGAGATGGTGGGACTTGCCCAAAGTTTGTACGTCGTGATGACGGCAGACCCAGGATTGGAATTTAGATTTCCAGAATAACTGTCTATATTTTATCAGAAGTTTAAGTATAGGAATTACACAATCGGGGACTTGGCTGTCAGAATAGCCACAGAACCGAGTGAGTATATAGGAGCTCACTATTTGTAACAGAGATTTAGAAGATCCAGATGAATCTCAGCATCAAACAGGTCATAGTCATTTAGTGGACAATGACATCACAGTTAGCTTGTTTGCTTGGTTTTTTAAATGAAGTAGAACAGAATAAGAAATTTGGTGCATCATTCTTAGTAAGCAATCTTTCCTGAAATATGTGTTCACTTATATAATGGTGTTTTGGGGTTGTGCATTTTCTTCTTTAAAAAACAAAACAAAACAAAAGAGAATCTCACTATCTATATCAGGCTGGCTTTGAACTCACAGAGATACAGCTGCCCCTACCTCTAGAGAACTGGGACATGAGCCTCTGTGCCTGGCCTTTTTAACATTTTTTTAATTTAGCATGCACAGCAATGGGTTTCATTATGGCATTTTCACCTGTGTGTGTGTGTGTGTGGTGTGTGTGATTATACTTTGTTCTTAGTTGTCCTCCTCCTCTACTCCCTCCCTCATTGCCTTGCCCTCCTCTCCCTGCTCCCCTTCCATTGCCCATCCCTTACACACACACACACACACACACACACACACACACACACCCCAATTCTACAGATGAGAGAAAACATATAGTACTTGTCTTTCCAAATCTAGTTTTTTCACTTAACAACATGACCTGAAGTTCCATTTGTTTTCTTGTAAATATTACAATTAACTTCCCCCCCTTTGGCTAAATAGAATTCTATTTTGCTTATAAGCCACATTTTTTAAATCCATTCATGTGTTGATTGATGTGTGGGTATGTTTCAATGATGGGTTTGGACAGCAGTATGAAATGTAGATATTATTTTGGAAAGAAAGTAGATCTATTTAAAGTTAGTCCCCGGAATTAGGAAAGTCCCTATGGTGAAGTACTACTCATAAGTAAAAACAAAAATAAAAACTTCCCTTCAAAACCCCCACTTAATTTTCATATTTCTTAGAGTCGCTAGTTGTATTACTTATTTATATATTTGTCTAATTTCTCACCAAAACGCAAGCACCATGGGGATAGAGGCTGCCCATCTTGCTTCATGCCTATCCAATGACACAGATTACACATAACCATCAACTAAATGAATGACAGAGTGAGCGTGTCATACTTTGTCCACATTTCTAGGAGTAAATTATAGACCACTATGTGCAGCTTAGACCCATTTGTTCACCTATCAGCCACACAATAACCAAGCACACCTGTTTCTGTATGGAAGCAAAGGGATCTGAAAAGATCTGTATTAGGTAGAGCAATTTATTTCCAGGGATGGGAGGAGAGAAGAGTACAGGAGAGGGAAGAAGAGGGAGGGAGAGAGGAAGGAAAGGAGGGAGGGAGAGAGAGACATAGAGACCCAGATACACAGAGAAAGAATAGGAGTGGGGATCTTGTGAAAAGAATTACCACTATTTTGCAAAGGGTTTTTCCCATTATAAATATAATCTGTTTTTCCCATTATAAATATAATCTCTTTAAATGGTTGGTTTTATGTTTAGAATATGATCATATATTTCCTGTTTAATTAAAAACAAGAATCTTAAGTAAGAGGTTAAGGTTCATCACTATACTAGAGTAATCCGTGATGTGGAAAGGGTGGCAGAGCATGGTGACACGGATGGTGCAGTGAGAATTGTGGACCAAATGCAGATAGTACATCCCATACTGTACTCATTTTAAAATGCAGATATCACATCCCATACTGTACTCATTTTAAAATGCACCACTGCCCAAGTCATACATTCATAATTCCATCCCCATGTTTCTAACCATGTGTCTGTCTGTCTGTCTGTTTGAATGCACAGGAGAATGTCTGGAGGTTGACTGTGGCTCAAGGTTGCCCCTGCAGAACAGGATTGGATCAAAGGCCAATAGAGGAACTTTAACTTTTTATTTGGTACCCTTTTTGGTGTGACAGTAGAATCTGGGTCAAAGCATGGTTATGTGTAGACTCCCATTCTGTTTCTGTAAGCACTCCCATGCTTACCTCTCTGTTGTTGCAGATTTTATAACTCATCATCTTGCTCTGGATTGAAGACCCAGAGCTTCAACGTGGAGTGATTTAAATCATGACCAATCATATTGTCTTGAATTTTAAAAAATGATTGTGAACTGTCTTGCATTTGAAGAATTATTACCACATGTTCATAGATAGATGGTTGAGTGTCTTCCTTAATTTCTCTCTATCTCGTTCTTTTTCCTTCTTCTTTTCATGTGTTTGTATGTGTTCATATGTATATTTGGTTCACATGTATGTCAGCACATGTAAGTGTGAAAGGGAGCATGTTTGTACATATGCATACAGAAACCCAAGGCTGATGTCAGCGATCTTCTTTGGTCATGCTCCCATTGTCACTCAGTCACCTAGAGTTTGAGGTCAGCGAGCTGTCTCAGCACATTAACACACTTGACAGTGTTTGCTCCCCAGGACCCAGTAGTGGAAGGAGAGAACTGAGTCTGGTATGTACAAGCCTTCTCTCCACTGAATGTAATTAATCTTCCCCCTCCCCACCAGAGCTAGAATAAAGCTAGTCTCACTAGCCAGCTTGCTCTGGGGAGCTCTGTCTCCATTCGTCTTCAGAGGCCAGAAGGACAGGTGGGTCACTGTGTGTATCCATTTGCCCGGGCTCTGGGGCTCTCCGTTCTAACCACTGAGCCACTTCCCTAAACTTGCATCTTATTTCTGAGACAGGGTCTCTCACTGGACCTGGAGCAAACCCATGACTCTTCCTGTCTTTGTGCCTCCAGCGGTAAGGTTACCGGTGCACCATGCCAGGCTGGGTTTTTTTAGATGGGTGCTGGAGACCCGAACTCAGGTCCCCAAGCTTGAAAGGCCAGCAGGTTTTACTGAGCCATCTCCCCATGCTGGCATCTATGTTTATTTGTTTACTGCATGTTATGAGCAGTGCCGGCCTGTGCCTTCATGTTCATGATTCCTGGTGTCTAGATGGGAGAGCTTGTGTAGCTGCACACCTGGGTGTGCACTCGTTGAGTCACAGGGTAGATGGTTTTCAATGTGGGTAGATGCTGCCAAAATCTTCTACGAAGATGTGTGCTATTTGCATTCCCAGCAGCAGTTCCCAGCTTCACATCCTTGCCAGCCCTTGGTAGCATCAGGAGGGTTGGGTAACGCGGCGCTTCAATTTGGCTTGACTTTTCGCTGATTCCTAATGAGCCCATGTGTCTCTCTGCTTTGACTTTTTGTCCTCTGTGGCCTGGAAAAGTGTTTTGAGGTTGAAGGAAGTGAATTTCACACTTCAACCGTTATTCACATGCAGTTTGGAATGGAGTGCTGGTGTCCGTGATGAGGGGATGGAGGCCCAGTTCCACACTGTCATCCTCAGCAGCCTGGGTTTCCCTAGGTTTTTAGAGATCTTGACTTGGGCTAAACCAGACTTCATGGCTTTGGCACTGAAAAGAATTTCAGGACAAGCAGGTACGTGATGAAACGGAGATTTTACGCAAGCGATCTTAAGGTAGGCTTAAGTGCGAGGATTAGGAAAAAGAAAAGAAGAAAGGAAGACGCAGCCCAGGGTGCAGCCATGGACTTCTCCAAGAGAGAGCAGCAGAAAGAAAAACAGACAGAGTGACTCTGGGCTCCGCAGAGGACACTCACAATCAGACGTCCTTAGTGCTAACCGTGTATACAATGTTTCAGTGGCTCTCCAGTTACATCCCAAAAGGTTGATAAGTGAGCAGCTCAGCTGGTATTGTTCCTTTCACACAGGCCTGCTGGCCTGAGTTAGAACACGCAAGCACCACACACATGTACAAGCATACACACACACAAAACAAACAAATAATTTAAAGTGGCTGAAGATCCTTCCTTCCTTTCTCGCTTTTAAACATTGTATTTATTATTTTATGCATATGAACATTTGCCTGCATGTATGTATGTATATACACCATGTGGTTACCCGGAGCCCTCGGAAGCCAAAAGAAGGTACTGGGTGTCCTGGAACTGAAGTTAAGCCACCCGGTAGATTCTGGGAATCAAACCCAGGTCCTAACTGCAGAGCCATCTCTCCAATCCCCCCAGGTAAGGTTATACTTCTTTGGAGGTCTTCTGACAAATTAGGATGTGATAAGGAAAAGCCAGGAGCCATGAGTGTTACACAAGGGGTTTAGCTCATGTCCCTTCCCTGTAAATGGAGTCTCTGGTGAGATTCCTAGAAAAGTGCAGGTTCATAGCTGGGAAGGGAGAAAGGCCTTGAGCATCTGTTGACTGCACCACGACTCTTGCTTGCTGTTGCAAAGATGCTTCAACCAGTGACTGGATGGGGGGGTGGAATTCCACTCCCCTCTCGTGTCTCCAAGATTTCCCCTGCCTTTGCTGTTAGCATCTGGGGTCCAGCTGCAGGCTTATCTTCCACAGTACTAATTACACAGAGGCTGTCCCACCAAGCTAAGACTTGACATAGACAGGTAGCAGCAATAGGTATTTGCCAAGCACCATCCTTGCACACCAGAGCCCTGGAAATGAAGCACTGAGACTACAGCAATAATTTTGATTGCTAACATTCATTTATTGTTAGCTAGAAGCAGTGTCCAGTCTTTACATAAATAATCCTGTCCAAATGCCAGTTCTATGATGTGGGTTTCATCAACACTGGCATTTTACTAAGAGAATCTGGTTCAGAGAAGTTAAATGACTTACCTCAGGTTATATAGCAAAAGTTATCATCGGAATCTTCATTTTTTATGAGCCAAAGTTTATTA